GGGTAGGCCCCATGCTGCAGGACCCTGCAGGTTTGCTGAAGCTGCTTCCTGGGACCAGGACGAGCGTCACATCGCAGGCGAGCAGCCAGTGGCACTGCAGGGAAGCCACTGCCACTGGTCCAGGGGCAAATTCCACCTCGGCTGCAGCCCCATAGCCTGCCTCCCACAAACAAGGGCCTCTCCTGCTGTGCCTGCCTAAGGCTTGTCTCCCTCCAAGCCAGGACAACTGTGGGCACTGCATGGATGCTGGAGCCCAGACCCTCTGACAGTGCAGTTGCCCTCACTGCCTGCTGCCCTGTGGGGAACAAACAGCCACCAGGCTGGCCTGTGGGTGACACTGCTTCCCTACCACTTTGCTCTGGGGTGCAAAGGCCCAGGCAGAGGGACTTCTGACCCCCCCTCCAGGACTCACAGCCACAGGGCAAGATGCCCTGGGCCTCTTGCATGGGAATAGGGTTATGGGGCCATCAAGCAGAGATGGCTAGGGCATCACCAGTCAGTGGGACACCCAGAATGCAGAGCCCGGGGCAGTCTGCTGTGTCTCCAGGGTTCCCAGAGCTGAGACTGGGAAAGGCAGGCCAGCTCCCCTGGACCTTGGATGAGCTGAAGGCAGGTAGGAAGGCCCAGTGGGCTGTGCACAGAGGGTAGGGGGCATGATGGCTGCCTGGACACAGGAGACTGGTCAGGAGGGACCGTGTAAGAGCAGGTACGGGCTTCTGAGGCTGCCTGAGACTTTGTCCCTGAAGTCCCTTAAAGGCCAGTTTGTGCTGCCACCCTGTAAGCAGAAGCAGGCACACACCTGGCAGGGGCCTGGCCTCCACTACATCCAGCAGGGGTCACAAGTGTGGCAGGTGCTCTCTGTTGAGTTTGAGGGTTTAGGAGCAGAGCCTGGAGTGGCCTGTGATGTCTCGGGTCTCACTGCCTAGCCCAGGGGAGAGCCTTAGAGACCAGTCATCATCAGGCGTCACAGACCCTAGTTGACCTGCCATGGGCCCCGCTCTCTCCATGTGTTTGATGGTGGAAGTTCACCCATCTCGCCGAGGGTCCTCAGACAACCGCCTCTGTATATTCACACTAGCACTGTGTTCAGGTCCTTAGGTCCATCTTCCCTGCTTTGAGCCCCACCTTACATGTTCCTCTCAGTCCTAGTCAATCCATTGCCTGGTGCAACACTGCCTCTTACCAGCTGAAAAATCATCCCCCACCCGACAAGACAGCACTGACCCAGCTCCCCCAGACCTCAGAGTCCTGCCCATGTGGCGTCCCGGTGCTCCTGTCTGCCAGGAACAAATCGCTCCTCTACTGCCTCCCCGGCCCCAAAAAACGCAAGTCCCCATGCTTTGTGGAGGAATAAATTCTCTGGACCCCCAGCCCTAAGCTGAGGCCACTGCCAGGGTGTGGACCTGGGCACTGCCCAAAGTGCAGGCTGTCCTCGTGAGCCACCCGAGGTCACAGGCTGCCGTGTGTGAATCTAGTGGTCCCTAAAGCTCTTGCCATGAGGCCACCTGCAGAGACCTCAGTGGCCTCTTAGGAACCCTGCAGGCTCCACACACACCTCTCCTGGGTTGCATTGGGGGAAGTTCTCATGCTGCCACCCCTAGGTGGTGATGGCTGGTGATGACCATGGAGGCCTGGTGTCTCCTCTGCTCCCCACCCCTCTTCCTCTCAGAAGGGCAGGGGTCTGTCTGGAGCACCAACACTGCTACAGTGAGCCCCGCAACTGCCCTGCAGAGCAAGGAGGGCATACAGGGACCCCAAGACCCCACAGCTGCAAGCCACTACTGCCCTCTGCTCAGGTTTTGGACACCAGGCTAGTTCTCGGTAACTGACGTCCACGGGACATCACGGGAGTCCATAAGGTCTCCCAGGACCCAGTGTGAAAGGCTGCCTCGGACCGTGGCCCCAACACGACACTGCACCCCATGAGCTTGGCAGCACCGAAGGACTGTGACTCACCCCAGCCAACAGCAGTCTGTGCCAGACAGGGGCTAAGGAATGCTGCTTTGTTTACTTTCCTATCTGCAAACAATGCAGAGGGAGGCCAGAGATGCTCCACCAATGGACACCGCTCACCTCTCTGGCGCCAGAGCTCGGTGTCCTGGTCAGCTGCCACCAGGGCAGGCTCCTGGAGGGTTTTGTCCCCAAGCCTGAGAGATCAGCCGCCAATGTTGGGACATTCTGGGTTGTCACCCTGGGGGTGGGGCCAGTCATCTAGTAGGTGGAGGTTAGGGATGCCATCAAGTTTCCCAGGGTGCAGCAACACAGTGACCTGGTCCCACGTGGCTACGACAGGAAGGAAGGTGGTGCGCCCGCACCCCACCCACCCCCAATCCCCTGGGTCTGGGCCTGGAAGACACAGGCAGGCATCGAACTGGGGTTTTACAATTTATTTCTAAACTTTTCACGTTTGTCTTTCGTAGTTTTTGCTGGAAATGTGCTGGTTACATGTCCATGCTGGAAAGCGCCAGTGTGTCAGCCAGAAACATACAGACCCAAACTGCCGCCTGACCGGAGGCCCTTCTAGCCTCGCGTGTTGGAGGACAGACTCCGCTGTGCTCCGTGGACCTGCCACCAGCCTTTGGCCTTTCGGCACGAGCGGTATCAAGACACCTGCCTTCACCCATCACTATGGACACACCGTCCCTCGAGGACCCGGCTTGGTCCAGACAGAGACGCTGCAGTCAGTGGTTGAGGTAAGTGTAAGCAGTGTGGGGGGCGGGGGCGGGGGGCACCTTCCTGCACCTGCCAGTGACCTCTGGGCACAGGTGGATGCAAATCCTTTTGGTTCGGCAGCTTGCTGGGGGTTCTTGGGCACACAGCACTGTAGGCTGGCTTCATTGAGATTATGCCTTAATGACAAAATAACATCAAACAGAACACTAGTACATGGCAACAGATTAAACACATCTAAAACTTGAACAAATTCCAATCATTCCGAATGACAGAGTCCTACGGGCCCAGCACCGTGGTGACATGTAAGTCAGACTTGTCACAATAATAATATATAACAATAAAACAATGGATTCCACACCGACACATACAGAATGACACAGCTGTCAAAACTAGTCAGGGTCCGTCCCAGATCAGACGAAGGGCCCCGCATGACAGGCACAGGGAAAAGACGGGGATGCAGCCTGGTCCTCAGAGGCCTGCGAGTCTTGTGGCCAATCCCACCAGGCCCATCTTGGGATTTCTCGTCTGTCTGCGTCTGTCTGTCTGTCTGTCTGCAGAAACTGACAGCCCGAGCAAGCACCAGGGCTGCCTGTGCATGGCTAAGTGAAGCATGAGGTATTGTCAAAGGAGCCTTTTTGGAATAGAGCAGTAATCACATTAAGTCAAAACTGATCACATAAAAAAAAAAAAAAAAAAGTAACAAAAAAAAAAACCACAAAAGGGCATTTGCAATACAATTTTCTACGAGGGAATTAAAACTAGAACATAGCAATCAAAACAAAAAAAACAAAACCGGTCCTCCAATAGCAGCAAAACAACATGAAAGAGACACAGAAGCGATGCAAATGTTTCCGAACCTCGCCGGGAAAGTCATCGGTAGCAGCGAAATAAGAAACCGGAGCTGCAGCCTGTCCCTTGTCTGGTCACTGCCCCGTCCCTGGGGGACCCTTCCCCAGTCCACACTTCCTCCCTCACACCCTCTCCAGCCTCATGCTCACCACCTCCCTTCAACACTTCCTAAACAAAAAGGTACAGAGCCAAGGTGTGCAAATAGTCTACCTGTCACTAACTTTTTAAAAAAGGGGCAGGGGACAAAGATGTGCTGGAACTGGACTTGTTTGGAGAATCTGCATTTTTCTAGAATGCCTCTCGGATTGGACCACCATGGCGGTGGCCAGGCAGACTGAATCAGTCTTTTGAAAGTCTTGTGATGTGCCCCCCTCCCCCACGCCTCCCCTATAAAGACCAATCTTCTGTAAACGGTCCTAAACTCGAAACAATCAAAGGCAGGAAGGTGTGTGTCTAAACCCAGGGAGATTGCATTCCTTTACAAATCATACTGGCCTTACAAACATCCTTTGCAATAAATATTCTTTTTTAGCCTTAACTATAAATTATATATTTTAGTGTTTAAAAACCTTCTGTGAAACACCTAAAAGAAACCCTTCAACTACTTGTTCTCTAGGTGTGCCTCCCAGGTCCCGACTTGCAAACGGCAAGGCGGCACCAAAGGGTCCCTAGAACTTCATCTTGCCTACAGGACAGGGAAGGACTCCTGGCAATGTAGAATGTAGCTCTTTTTTCTTGACTGGAACAAAACCTTCCAAGACTCCCGCCCCTCACTAACACCACAGTGACACACACTTGCCGTGCAGTCCTGTTTGCACAAGTAGAAGAATACTCCCAAACCATTCTATTAAAATACCAACCCCCCTCCACACCCAACACCAACAGTGGTAGCCTCTCTACTTACTGGACCCAAAGTGCTCTGAAATGGAACAGTTTTAGAACACCGAGAAAGAAAAACACAAAGACAGTAGCTGTGGGTTTAACCTGGTGTGAGCAGGCTGCAGGGCCCTTGGGTGAAAAACCAGCATCTCATAAATGGGTAACTATAAAAATAGGAAGATTATAAAAATAGAATATATTATGTCTCGCTATTTCCTTTCCTCTCTAGGGAGCATGTTGGATGAGTGGGACAGCTGGCTTTTCCCACTACTGTGACACCACACTAGCTGGTGCCCAGTGAACCTGCAACCCGGATGGGGGGGTTCCACAGGCAGAAGACAGCACAAGGGGACACCAGATGCCACATCACCCGCTAGAGAGGCTGCATCAACCATCGATAAGGTGAAGAGGTTACAACATCTACCTAACTATGGGGTAAAATACAGGTATAAGTGACTTATCGAGTGTCTCCAGGGTGAGCAAGCAGGGTACAGAGGAGCCCAGAGCCACGCCAAAGCTTCTTGGGAAAGCAGAAAACATCTTCCTACCTAAAACCCTCTTCTACTTTAAAAATGGTTTGGATTTTTCTTTTCTTCTTCTTTTTTTTTTTTTTTAAATGTTTTTAGGTTTTTTTGTTTTTAAACACATGAAGAATCAGAGCTAGCCCCCTCAGGAGACTTTTCTGTGTGTTAACGCTATTCTTCCACAGAGACAAGCAATGAATAAAGAACTAGTTGATTACTGGGGTAGCAAATCCTCTATTTCTGTAGCATAAGCCCCTCCCCCCACTCAGGGTTATGCAAATTCTATCTCTCTCCCTCTCTCTCTTTTTTTTTTTTTTTAAAGACAGTTTTTGGGTAATTTCTTTTTTTTCTGCTTAAGTCAGAAGGAGAAAGAGCAAAAACAAAAACAAAAAAACCAACAAGGAGAATGAAACTTTCCCTTCTGGTAGCGTAATGTCCCAAGGAGGGACTTTGTCACAGAAGCACCTGCACCAGCTCCTCACTCGCTGTGGGGCTGCGAGACACACTGCTCGGAGCCTGGTGGCGCACACCCGGTGCTCTCAGATGTCCACGTCCCGCACGTCGGTGGGTGTGCAGGCCAGGTCGGTTTCCTCTTCCTCTTCCTCCTCCTCCTCTGTGGCCTTGGGGTCCAGGTTCTGCTGGGCCTGGCGCAGGCTCGACTCGAGCAGGGCTTCTATCTGTTCCTGGCAGGCCCGGAGGCAGTCCTGAGAGGCAGGTGGGGAGGCACAGGACCCTTAGTCTTTTAAGAGTCTGCAGCCAGGACCCCAGTCCCAAATGTCACCACCAAGAAGGTTCTGCCAAGAGCAAGGCTGAACCAACTCTGAAGCCTCCCCCAAACCTACCTTTTGCGTTTTTGGATGCAACCCAGCCTGGCATGACTTAGGATGGACACTGGGTGGCCCAGGATGGAGCTCCCCCTGGGTCTTTACCCTCAGCGTGCGTCCTAGGCCTCACCTACTCTGCCCAGGTGGAGCTGGAGGAAGGCACTGCAAGGTCACTTATGTCTCTCAGGGACCCTCATAGTTAGAGCTCACATTTCCCTCTCCATCTGCTTCACAGATACTCATCCTGGCAAAGGAGGGTTGACAGGGCTGGAGCAAGCAGTCCCACTTTACAGATGGGCAAACTGAGGCCCAGGAGGCATGGTGTGGAACTCCAGACACCCTCATCAGATCCCACGCTGAGGCCCCAAACTCCCAGCCACCCAAGGACTCTACCCACAGGCTCTCAGGAGGTTCCTGGTGCCTGGGGGAACTGTGAGCTCAAGTGGAGCCTCAGTGGTGCAGGTAAGGGGTCCCCACAGATGCCACCAGGCCCCGCTGTGCTCCAGCTCCACAGCCCTTCTGCTTTCACCTCACAGCAGCCCTACAGTGCCCAGTGGCTCTGACCCCTATCCCACTCAAACCCCCAGTGGAAATCAGACCTGGAACCAGACTGGGCTTCTGGGCCTTCCTGCCTTGTTCTGTCCAGTGAGCCCTTCCCAGTGGCCGGGCTCTCAGTAGGATTAGGTACGCTTCGTGGCGAAAAGGGACACACAGTTGCAGATGTGCAGCATAGCCCACTGGTTACACATGGGACAGACATCCCATCCACCAAAGAAGGCTCTAGACTGTGCCCTCTGCCTCAGAGTCCTTTGTGGCTTGACCCTGAAGGAAACCCCACCTAGATGGGCTCTGGTCCAGCAATGAACTCAGGCACAGGTGGCTCTGCCCCCATAAGGCGTCAAGGCTGCAGCAAGATCGAGTTTGGTAATGGAGGCCCAACTCACTATGCTCTGCTGTTCAGGGTTTTCCTGAGTCCAGGCTCAGCCTTGTTTGTCACTAGAAAACCAGACAAAGTCATTTCAGCCTTCCTCACCCTCCTCCTCCCCGATTGTGTCAGCTGTCATTTGTTCTGGAAAAACCAGTCATTTCAGTCTTCCCTACTCCCTGTTGTGTGTCAGCCATCAGGCATTCACTTAACATCTAACTTAAACTTTCTATCAAATACAGACAACACTACCATGTCCCCAACTGCCTGGGATGGCGCTGTGTGGCATCATTACCACCCCAGATGCAGGACAAAGCTGAGTTGATCAGGCGGGACAAAAGTGTTCCTGGGGGAAAAGTGGCCTCCCCCAGGGCCCAGGGTTGAGAGTCAGCAGTGGAGAGACAGAACATCTTTCTTTTTGCAGGGCTGGGATGGAGCCTGGGCCTCGCACATGCTAGGTAGGAGCTCTGCCACTGAGCTGGTGTGTACATGAGACAGCGTGGGGCTGGGACCCTCAGGGGTCCTTTCGGGCGTCCTGGTGCGGGCCACCAAGAGGCTTCAGGAGGTCCACCGAGACTTGACTGGTCACCCTCATGCACATAAGGAGATAGCAGACATACCAACCTCTCTGCTCTAATTTGGTAAATGCCACAAACCCTGGTAATTGTTATTTAAATTCTTTCTTTACAAGAAAAGAAGTGGGAATAAGATGAAGCGATTTTAAGAAAGCTACAATCAACTCCGGGTCTGGCTGCGACAGGCCTCCCTCAGCGATGCAAGAAAACAAGCCGGCCTCTATTCACCCCAGTGTCCGGTGCCCTGGAGAGCTCATGATTGGCCAAGGACATCGTGGCCCCAACAAAGCTCCACTTGCCCCAGCTTCACACACGCACCCCAGGCTCATCGCTGCTGCCTGCTCTTGGAAATGCAGGGGAGCAGAAGCCTGAGGACTCTCCTAGGTTGTCAGCGGGTCCCAGGCCCCCACAGGAAGTGGAATGACTACTACACCCTGCCATCCTGTGGGCCACAGGGCACAAGAAGGCCTCAGGCCTGGGACCAAGCACCTGGTTGATGCCCCACCTCTCACAGCCCCGTTGCCACCCATGGGACCTTGACCATGGCACTTCCCTGGTGCTGGGTGCCTCCTGTGAGGATCACTCACCGGGTCGCACTTGATCACTCTGGACAGGAAGTGTGTCAGGCGATAGCAGGACAGGAAGTTGTTGGGGCTGCCCAGGTGCAAGCCCTGCATTGCAGCCACCACGCTCCCAGCGGCCACCATGGAGGGCGGGTTAGAAATGAACTTCACATCTGCAGAAAGGGAGGGAGATGGCCTTGGGCAGGGAGGCTGCGGATCTGTGATCCAGATCCCCGGCATGGCCTGCAGGGAGTGATGGGCAGGCCCCGGCTTTATGCCCAGGACCCACTGCCAGCGCCGGCATGAGCCCCAGCTGCCTCAGGAACATCCAGGTAGCACACACTTGTGACCCCAGGATTGGGGACGGGCACGGACAGGTTGGGTTTGAGGCCAGCCTGGGGTGGTAGGGGTGGAACCTAGTGCTTTGCAATTTAGTGAGACCATCTCAAAATAAGATTGAAAAGGTCTGGGGTGAGGCTCAGTGGTAGAGCAGTTGTCCAGCATGCACGACATGCTGGGTTCCATCCCCAGCAGAACTGAAGAGCCAGGTTGTTGTCCACTTGTCCTTTTGGCATCTTGAACCTTGGGCATACGTCACTTACAAAATAAACGAGGCCACAAGCTAGCACAGACATAGGGAAGGTGTCACCTCCACAGCACTAACCCTGACCTACTGCCAAAACCAACAAGAGGGTCTGTCCAAAGGGACGTCACAGGCTGCAGGGTGACCACTCCCATGTCCTTCAAGCCAAGCCTCAAGCCAGTGGCCTCCAGGCTTGGGGTGATGCTTTAGCTTGGAAGCCCAGGCCCTCAGGAGGCCCCAACCACAGGCTCAGCTGGGCAGAAGAGCCTTCTGCAGCTGCCCAGCCCCTCTCCAGGACTGACCTTCACAATGACCTTCAGCCAAGCCCTACTCCATGCTAGGCCCTCTGCTTTTCACGACCAGGACCAGTGACTTTCCCAACTCAGTGACCCCCAAGGTAAGGAGAGCACTGTGGTTCCACCTGTGGTCACCACATGGGAAACCGAGACCAGGTAAGCCAGGCGCAGAGGCAGCCTAACAGCAGGAGCAGACCTGCATATGACCCCTCAGGGTGGTGGAAAGAACAGAGCCCCAAAATCCCAATACCCCGCCTTCTGTCCTTGGAGGCCCTTTGACCTGGGAAGTAAACCTAGGGTGCTGCTAGGCCAGAGCAGTGTGCAGTGTGCGTTGTGTCGGAGTTCATCTTCCCTGAAGACACAGCCAGTGGCAGTGGTGACTTCACGACTTCATCTGGGTCACCAACCAGCCCTTCCACCTGAGGGACTTGTGCCTCACCTGTGAGAACATCTGCTCTTATCCCTTCCCCTCCACCTGAACTCACCACCCCAGATGAGTCCCCTGACCGGTGGGGACAGCCCCCAACTTAGCCTATGAACAAGGGGGTCCAGGCTGGAGCTGGACACCAGAAGGAACAAATGTCAGTGCTCACTGCTTCATTTTACACCATCTAGGGCCCAGGAACAAGGCGGTACGGGGCGCTGGAAGGTGATCTGGTCACAAAGGGAGAGAGGCCCCCACTGGCTGCTGCTGCCCCTTAGAGACTCCAACCCGAGAGAATAAACAACCTCAATGTCGTTAAGAGGGGCTTCAGCAAGGACCAGGAGGAAAAGCAGCCACCCTGAAGGCGGACAAAGCCCGCTCCAAGCACCACGACTTCAAAAAGAAACCCCGGCCTGAGCAAGGCAAGCCACCTCTCTCCCAGTGAATGGAGACCTTGTCACTGAGGCAAATGAGAGCCACACAGGCCCGGCTCCTGCCCTACCAGCCACATGCCCAGAGCCCCGCCCCTGGGTCTGAAAGGCACCCACAGGAGCGAATCATCAGCTCATCTTCCCCACGCCTGTGTGCGGGGCTGGGGGCCTTATGCTAGTAAGGAGCAATTCAGAATTAAGCCCCAAGCTAAAATGTTTGTCCCAATCACCACCTGGCCAACAGTGGCACAAGCGGTCATCAGAGCTCAGCAGCCCTGGCTGAGACCCTCCATTAACTCAGTTTGCAAACGACACTCGGAATAGCTTGCACAAGGGCAAGCTCTGGGACACTCGTGGGTGGACACACAAGGCAAAAGTCACCAACCCTTCAAGCGCATGTGTTCAGGAACCCGTGTCCAGGGGTGTCCCTCCAATTCCTTTGAATGGAACCCTGGCCACATGCAGGGCAAAAGTGTCTTCCCAGACTTTTTCAACCTGGTCCTGACATTATGAACCCATGGGGTCCCTCTCTTCTGCTCAGGACTGTGACAGGCCACTCCTCAGTTCTGTTCAGCAGAGCAGATGGGGAGCAGAGCCCAGCCCGGCCTACTGGCCCACTGAGTCACGAAGAGCCAGTCACCAAGCTGTGTGCCCACCTCCACCTGCTGGCTGGGGGCTCCTGGTGGCTGTGCAGTAGCTCGGAGGAGAGCTGGTGTGCAGCCTGGGGCAGTCTGTGAGCCTGCTGCCGCTCAGCCACCACCCAGAGGCCCCTGGGACAGGAGTTCCACAGCCTCAGCCTCCTGGGGGAGGCTGCAATGCCGTCCCTCATGTTATCTCCAGAAAACTTCTCTGAAGCTACTTTCAGCTCCATAAAAGGCTGCCTGCTTGGAGCCTCCGAGCTCGGAGCCCCAGCCAGATGCCTCCCTGGCCTGCTTGCAGGGCTGCCCCGCCCCTCAACCCATCCAGGCCAGTGAGGGCCTCAGCACCCCCACCTGCCCCCACACCTTGCTTGGGAGGCCAGAGTCCCCACATCGTGGGCGATGCTAGCTTTTGTTCAGAACTACCAGGTACCAGAGGGTACAATGAGGATGTCAGGCGCCGGGTAGAGGGGAAGACACCAAGCTCCCTTTGATGCCACCTTGCTTGAGGCCATCACTCAGGTCACTCAGAGCGAGCCCTGTACAGATGGAACAACTGAGGCCTGACCAGGACCACAGCTCAGCTGTGGGGGTGCCTCCCCTCCCAGGATAACCAGGCATCTGGAGCCAGGGAAGTACTAGTGAGAGGCATGTGAGGACTGCGCCAGGGGGAGGGAGGACCAGGCCCCTCTGTTGCCAACCATAGTGACAGGCCAGGTCCAGGTCCCTCTGAAGCCCCTCCCAGCACTCAGCTGAGCAAAGCTGGCCTTAGGAGCCCCTAGCAGGGCCTCAGGCCTGAGCTCCTCCCTTGGCCGCCCCCGCGCTGGGGCTGCTGCTGGCGGCCTGCAGCACGTGGTACAGGAGCTGTGGCTGCTCTCCCTACCCTGTAGGCGCCCCTGGCAGGTGTCCCAGCCTGGGAGAGGCCAAGAGGAGGTCCTAGCAGCCAGGCTCCTTGAGGACACGGGTAGGGCTGGAGGTGTGTGGCAGCAAAGGCAAAACCTTTCAGTACAGAGTGGCCACAAGCTGCCTGGCATGACGAAGGGAGGTATGGGAGCATGACCCAGGAAGGATGGGCAATCCACCCAGGTCCCCAAGGCCCTGCAGTGGCTGTGGCCAGGAGAAGACCCCACCATCTAGCCCAAAGAGTCAATGAAAGCCCCTGCTGTCCATAGCAGGGAAGGAGGACCTTGGGACCACCCTCCCGGACAGATGAACAGGACAAAAAGCGAGGAACTGGCCAGGGTCACCCACAAGACAGGCTGGCTCTGGGGGTGGGGCAGGGGCTGGGATGGGGGGCTTACCTGTGGCACAGAGAGCCACAAAGGTCTGCGCGTGCTTGCGGATGATCTGTTTGTTCTCCTCGGCCTCTGGCATTTTGGAGAGGAAGTGCTCAATGAAATCGTGAGGGGTCATGGCCGCCAGGTTCCACTTGAGTTTGTTCACCAGAAGCAATTCCATTTGCTGGGGAAAAGGGGAATGAGGTCAAGAGAGGGGCCCTGGAGGTCCAGTGGTCAGGTCACCGCATTTGATGTGCAGCCTTAGGGTGGGAGAGGAGGGGTGAAGATGGGGGAGGGTACAGAGTGAGGCAGACCTGGAACCCTAGATCAGAACAGAAACGGTGCGTTTAAAAAGATCTCACTCTCATTACTAAGCAGATGGTCGAGACAAAAAGACCCCCCACCGTCTGCAAAGGAGGGCAAGGCGACGAGCGCTGCGGCCCGAGCGCCGCTAGGGGGCGCGCGCCGCCCACGTATCCGCTCTGCTCCAGCGCGACCGTGGTGGGAGTCCGGGGACGCCCGCAGAAGTGGGGAGCAGCAGGGGTCCCGCCCGCCGCGGCCCCGGAGGACGGCCGGCGGGGGGTGGCGGGGGAAGGCGAGCAGTGTGGGCGTCCTCCCCGGGGCGGGACATCTGCCTGTGTGGCTGGCCGGGCCTCTGCCACCTGTATCTCTCCCCACCCCCCTCCCCCGGGATTCCGCGGATAACGGGGTGTCGCGGGAGGTGGGATCCGCAGTTACCAGTAGCTCCTCGGGCCGGATGGAGTTGTCAGTGTAGATGCACAACTTCTCGGCCGTCAGAGGGATGGTCTCCTTCATCTTAGAGGCCACGAACATGCAGGTGGCCCCCAGCAGCTGCAGGCGACTCTTCTTCAGGGGCTCGAGCGACAGGAAGCGGTCCAGGTAGTTCATGGCCAGCGGGAAGACCTCCTCCTCGCACTTCTGCTCTTCGCAGACCTGCGGAGAAACCGGATCGTGGCCGCCGCCGCCAGGCCCCCTCCGTGCGACCCCACACCCTTCCCCGCTTACACAAGGCGCCAGTCCCAGAGGGCACGAGGATTTGGGGCGGGGGTCGGCACACGCTCCCCGGGATGCGCTCCCGCCCCGCGTGTGCCCAGTACCCACCCACCCCGAAACTGAAAGGGAAAGTCCCCGCGAGGCTGGCACTGCGGGGTGGGGGCGGGGCAGCGGGGACCCCGGCCCATGCTGGAGCTCGGGGGGCCCGGGTGGCCGCGGACACCCACCGCGGGGCCAGGCGCGGGGCCGGGGGCTGGGCGCCGCGCTCGCGCGCCTGCGAGACACAAAGGTGGCGTCCCAGGCCGCCGCGCCGCATTTCCCAGACGTCATCTTTTCAAAAAATATTTAAAAATATTAAAAAAATAACTAGTTGCCTAAAAATCCCCTGAAAACGACCCTCGAACGATCCTTGACCTAAGCCGGGGGTCGGGAGCTCGGTGCGGGCTCCGGGGGGAGCCCCAGGAACTCAAACTCTGGGGTCCCCCTTCCCCCGGGCGCAGGCGCCGATTCCCTCTCGCAAGGGCACCATGCCGCACTTTCAAAAATTATTTAAAAATACTTTCGGACCCCCGAGCCAACCCCTGAAAGACTGAAAATGTGCCCCGAGCCCCTGGCTCTCCCCTGGAAAATCCTCCAAGTGGAGACTCGCGCGGACAGGGGTCAATCCCGGGCGACTCGGGGGCCACGCGACCTTGCAGCCCGGCGTGCTCTCTGGGCTGGACTCCCCGTGTGGGGCGCCGAGGGGCCCCCTGCTTGAATACAGGGCCCTACTTCCCGAGTAGGGTCCCCCCAAATAGCCCACGCCGAGTCCCTGCGCCCCTCCCGCTGACTCCCCGCCGCTGCATGGCCCCTAGTGCGGGTCCCAGCGCCCCACCGGCCGCTCCCCACCCCCACCCTACCCCCAATTATTAATAAACACTTTTGCCTTGCAATAAAAGAGCAAAGATGGCGCATAATACTGGCACAAGCGGCCCGTGCATACGTGTCCATGGATATTAATTTAAAAATCAAATCTATGCCCCATCCCCCCGAGCTGACGGCTCCGGGCAGCAGCAGCCACAGAGGAGGCGCAGCGGAGCTGGGGCGCAAGTAGGGGCCACAAAGGGCGCCCAAGTTTGCATCTTCGCACCCACTAGGGTGCCCCTGGCATCGGCTTCCCTTGAAGGCACCCCTCCCCATCCCCCCCAACCAGGAAAGGTAATTTCTAACACTCCGACCTCTCCCCACCTTCTCGTTCCAAAATTCCTGCAATATCTATTTATTTTGAAAATACGGATTCCTAGCAACACCCCGACAAACTTCAAAGTTGGAGGGGGAGAAAAGGGAAGGAGATGAGGGCAAAGAGATGTGGGTCTGGGCTACAAGTTGCGGGGAGGTCCTAGGACAGACAGCCGCCCGAAGCCCCGCACCTCCAGCATCCAGGTGGCTACGATCTTCCGCATGGACGGCAGGATCTCCTTCTGCACGCACTTGAAATAGGACACGGAGGGCGCGCAGGTCTCCTCCGCCTTGAGCATGGCCCGCAGCACCCGGTCGTTGAGGAGGTTGGTGTCTGGGTACGCGCGGCGGATGGTCTCCACTTCGCAGCACAGGAGCTGGTGTTCCATGGCTGGGGCTGTGCCTGGGTCGCCTGGGGAGGGCTGTGCGTCCGGGGTGGGTCTGCGCTCGCCTCTCGTTCCTGCTGCCCCGCGCTGCCTCGCGCTCTTCTGCCCCTCGCCGGAGCGCGCGGACTCTGCTGCTTGCTGCTACTGCGCCGACAGCCCTCTGGAGGCTCCAGGACTTTGCAACTTCAACAAAACTCCCCTGTAGTCCGTGTGACGTTACTGTTGTTAAGCAGAGATCAAAGCCGGGCAGAGAATGGAAGCGGGGGAAGGGACGGGGCGGGCGCAGGGGGAGGGGGCGCGGGCGCAGCGCGCCGGGAGCGGCGAGGGGCAGAACCCAAAAGCCATCCCTGAGGCGCCGCGCCTGTCCCGCGGCGAAGTTGCCCCCGAAGTTCGGTGTTCATAGAAATGCAAATCGCGCTGCCTTTCTCCCAGCCGGGGAATGGGGTGCCGGAGGTGGGGGGGGGACCGTTCCTCCCGAGTGGGTCCCCCAGGATTTGGGGGGTGGAGTGGAGGTGGCTCTGTAGAGGACAACTAGGAGAGCGAGCAGGCCACACGCAGTCAAGGGAGACCGCGTGGAGGGGGAATTCTGGGGCGCAGTAACGCCCTATATCCGAGCCGGGAGAATGGGCGCGTTTTGGAGGACGCTACGAGGGCACCCACGGGTGGAGAGAGGGCCAAGGAATCTCAGCGCCCGCATCTTCTTTCATTTTCATTAACACGTGTAAATTTCAGGAACTATTTAACATGCCGGGACGCAAGCAGTGCACAAAACTCCCGCACAGGCTTCATCCTGGCGCACCAGGGGTCGGTGCAAATGCCCAAAGGGGGTAGCTCTAAACATTAAAGGGATTTAAGCCTACCAGACGCTCGCTCAAAAAATAGAATAAAATAAATGCCCGAAATTCCAGCAACAGCCCAAGATGGTGGCCACCACTTCCTTCATCTTGTTCCTCTCGCCTGGGGGATCTGCCGGCTGTCTTCCTACCTTGACCAGTCCATCTTTGCGGGGGTCCCCAACCCTGCCCCCACCCAGGGCGGGCAATTTAACCGGGAGAAACACACCTTTGCAATGGAAGGCTGAAAACCAGTGGTATCTATTCTGACTTACTTTTAAAATAATAATAATAAAAGAAATTAAATCGTTGGAAATATTAGCCGTCTGTCTGGGACTAGACCACCGGAAGCTTCCTAGTTTATTTTGTTGGGGGTGTGGCCGTCCCCCCACCTTTAGAATTTGCCCGGGGGCTGCATTTGTGAGTTTTTGGGGGCTGGCACAAATTAGAACTGCAAGTTAAAGAAGTGCGTGCTCCGAGCCGATGACTTTTAAGCACAAATCTATAGATGTTCGCGGTTATTCGAGATGGTTTCCAATATTCTCGCAGACTTAAAAAGACACTAACAGTTTTCTGATTTGTAAGTTCTGTTACGTGTATTTTTTTATTATTACTATTTAACAAAAGGACACTTTATCCAGTTTTAACTTTTTTTAAAAAGTTTTTTTTAAATACCTGTCCCCAAGTTGAGAAAATTGTTTATTTATTCCCCTCTGAATAGTTTCGTGTCACCAAAACCACCGTATCCCCTAACAGTAAAGCCTCAAAGAAAAGTCCCCTTTCCTTTACCAGGCTGCACGTCGTAAGACGTGACCCCCACTTTTAGGGTCCATTCCTCCCACGCCCCCTTCCCCGCCAGGAATTGGGGCTCCTAATACGAGAGTCCAGGAGGGCAATGACCCCGGCTCACGAACGGGAGGCCGTGGGTGGCCCAAGCAGGGAACGCCCTCCGCGTGTCCCCTCCCCGGGCGCCCACGCTCTCGCTGCCCGCGGGCACCGCGGAGCCTCGGAGCATCCGCCGGCTCACGAGGACGGCCCGGCTGCTTTTTCATTCATAAAATCCCGACCGACCGGGCGGCAGCTGGGATGATTTATGAGGCCGCGCTCTATCACCGCCCGATCGGTCCCCGGGGGCGAGGGGCCCCGAGCCCCGCGTGCGCCTCGGCCCAGCCCGCAGCGCGCCGGCGAGGGGCAGCGGGGCAGAAAAGGGCTCGCCCACCCGGCCAGCCGGCCCCCGTCCGGGAGCTGAGGGAACGACGAGGAAACGGGAATTAGCATGAGCCAATGGGGGCGCGGCGCTGTTACTAGGCGGACCGGGCAGATCTCGACGAGGAACTTCGTTGATCTCCCGGCTCAGGGACGGGCGCAAAAGTGCAAGCCCGGCCGGCGGGCGTGCAGAGCCGTCCAGGAACCCGCGGGGGAGGCGCTGGAATTTGGGGCCCGCCGGGGAGCGCCTGCGGCCCAGCCCCCAGCCGGGCAACCCGGCTTGGCCAGCTCCAGTGCCCTCGAGGGGATCGGCAGCCCCATGTCCTTGAGGGCCATTGCTTCAAGAAGTGCAGAGGAAGCACTTTGACTTTTTTTTTTCTCCAAAGACAAAAAAAAAAAAAAAAAACTTAAAACCTTTTCTGCTGCAATTTTAACTTTGCACTGTCTTTTTAAAACCCACCACGAAGCAGGAACTGCGGACTTTTGGCTCACTTAAAGTGCTCTGCGCTTATTTGTTGGTGATCTTTGGGAGACAAAAGGCCAATGGCCCAATCGGAAGGGAACCACCTTGGTCGAAAGAAAATCCAAAAGTCATTTAAATCACCTTCCAGCTTTCCTGCCCTCCTCCGCCCCCCGCCCGGTGACTGCAGCCAGCGACAGTTCCCGGGAGAGGGCGGATTCCGCCGCAGGCGCGTGTTTGCCACTGTCCCTGGCTGTGGGAACTTCATTCAGCGGGGGAAGGGAACGCGTTCATTCAGGAACCCGCCAGCCGGGCGTAGACCCCTGGATGCAGCGCGGCTGCGCGCAGCCCGACTAGGGGTTTAGGGGGTTGGGTTGCGGGGCCCAGCCCGGACCTTGCCCAGGCGTTGACCTCCCGTCCCCGCCCCTCCCGGAGAGGGCCGGGTGGTGAGCGGGCGCACCTAGGTGGGGTCACCTGCAGCCGCATACCTGGCGGCGACTTTAAAGGACTTGGCTCCAGCTTCGCGAGTTTGCCATTGTTAAGCCCTTAAGTCGCCCTGGAAAACGCTTCCGAATGTGGGCCGTAGGGTTCCGGGGGCGCTCCCCCACACACACTGCATGCTTTTGAGGCGCGCATGGCGGCCCACGTGCTGCAGCAGCTCCGCCCTGGCCACGCGGCGCCAATCCCGGGCTCCCCCCCTCCAAGCTGGGGTCGACTCCCGCCGGGATGCCCACCCACAAGGGCCACGCGTGGAGAAAAGGGCGGCTGTACCCCACCGCTCAGAGCCCAGGCCTGCATTTCTACCCCTGAGCAATTAATTTCAGCCAAACACAAGACTACAGCACCCTCCCCCGCGTCGGCCTGCGGGGACACCCCTCCCCCAGCTGAACGAGGTGTGCGCGAAGTTAAGCTCCCCCAACATGCGTGTATGTGTGTGTGGGGGGGGCTGGCTCCAGTGACAACTCAGGACCCCCAAGGGTGAAAGTGCAACCTTGGGGGGTGGACGAAGATTCTAATTGTTCGAGCCCCTCCTCTCAAAACGCACCACCCAAATTCATGAGGAATTCTTCGGTCTTCCAGCTCTGCCCTGCGGCCTGTCTCAGACCAAGTGGTGGTGGGCAGTGGGAGCCCAGATGGAGAAGAAAACCCACCGCCAACCAGTCAAAGAAATCGAGCGGAGGGGATTCGGAAATGGCCTCTGAGGCCACGTGCAGCTCTGGTCCCCAGCGGTCAAGCAGGGCCGCGGCCCACCGGAGGATGAGCGGACCCTCGTGCTGGACGAGGGCTCGCGGGGCCTGGAAACGGCGGCGGCTGGTGGGACCGCGCTCCGTCGCAGGGGACCAGCAGGGGTTCCTCGTGGGTGCCCACCGCGCCCGACTAATGCGGTGATCACTCGTGCCCCCTCCTGCCCATTCCAAGTACAGTCTGCCGGCGGGTCCCTGCGTCCCAGCGCCCCTCCGTCCTGCTTCCTAAAGAGGCCGGGAGCGACTCCATCCTTTGCCAGCATTAGGAGTGGGTGGGGGAACCATGGGGTCCTTACCATGGGGGCGCCTGCGAGTTCTGGGTCTCCGGACACTGGCCAAGGAGGAGATGGGAAAAGAAAACTTCCCAGGTTCGGGACGTAGGTCCCCTATCATACCCGGCACCCTTCTCCTGGGGTCCCTAGAGCCCGCGCCCTAGGGGCTGGTGGCAGGACGCGTGTTCAGACCCTTTACAAAGTTCAGGGGCCAAAGGGCCGCACCAGGTCCCCAAGCCCCACGTGCGTGTTGGCGCTGGGCTCCACTTGCCCCAGCGAGTCTGGAACCTGAGTGGGGTGCGGCCGGGGCAGGGGAGGGCGGCGGGAGCGCGCGTCGCGGGCCCAGGCGCTGGGCTGGGAGCGCGCGAGGCTGCGCCGCGCATTCCGCGCATTCCCGCCGGGCCTCGGTTCCGCCGCCACGTGGTTGCCCTGCGCGCCGCGCTACCGTAAAGCCTGGAGACGACGCGCATCTCCTGGAATGAGGAATGCGCAGCGCGCCCCCGGAGCAGCGCGGAACCGCGGGACCCCGCGTGTAGGAAGAGGCTGCTGTTTTGAGTAAAGGGAGAGCTTTACTTGTGATAACACGTTCATCTATAAAGACGAGCAGGAAGGAGGATGCCCAGGCCCCAATGGTATGTGTAATAGGGTGACGGGCCATCTAAGGAACGCGACAGAACCGGACCGGTGACCATTATGTCTTGCCAGCAGAGGAGCTGCAAACTTTGACGGTTTTCTTCTTCTTGTTGTTTTGGTTTTCCTTGTTCAAAATAGTCGCGGGCACTGGGCTTGGGAGGTGCCATCTGGAAGGTGCTTAGCAAATAGGAAAGCGTCCAGAAACTATTAAAAAAAATTCTGAACGTCTTTTATTCTGAGTATCAGTTTAAGGTAAAGACCCATTGCATCCATGAATCCCCAGCTGCTAACCTTAACCAACAGGGCGCTTGCCTCTGCCTTACAGAGTTCTGGGATATCCTGCAAGGTTGTCGCCTGCCCCTTCTCCCCTCAGGCTCCTATGGTTAGGAATTTTGAGAATCCTCCTGGGCCATTTCTGAATCCCTGTTTTGACAGAGGTCACTCCTTGCAATCACCAGGAGGTGGAGGGATGCACAGAAAAAGCTGCTGCTGCACCTTGGTGGGATTCACTGTCGACTGTGCACCCTAAATAAGGCTCCCATGCTCCAGGGAAACACACCCTCTCTGGTGTGCTTCGGAAGAAAGGGCTCCACCCACGCCAATCTA